TAGTCGTGCCTGAAGGCGTAGTCGGTGTCGTAGTCGTTGTCGGCGTCGTAGTTGAAATCGTAGCAGAGGCCGTCGTAGCATTAGTAGTAGTAGAAGTAGTAGTCGTATTAGAAATTGTACTAGTTGAGCCGTGGTAGTCGTAGTAGTAGTAGTAGTAGTAGTAGTAGTAGTAGTAGTAGTAGTAGTAGGAGTAGGAGTAGGAGTAGTAGAGGTAGTAGTAGTAGCAGCAGCAGCAGTAGTAGTAGTAGTAGTAGTAGTCGTAGTCGTAGTCGTAGTAGTAGTAGTAGTAGTAGTAGTAGTAGTAGCAGTAGTAGTCGTAGTCGTAGTCGTAGTCGTAGTCGTAGTAGTAGTAGTAGTAGTAGTAGTAGTAGTAGTAGTAGTAGTAGTAGAAGTAGTAGTACGAGTGAGAGTAGTAGTCGTAGTAGTAGAAGTAGTAGTAGCCGCGTAGTAGTAGTTCGAAAAGTTTGTAGCGGCAGCAGTAGTACTTGCAGCACTGGGGCCGGAGGAGTAGTGGTAGTGGTAGTAGTAGTAGTAGTAGTAGTAGTAGTAGTAGTAGAAGTAGTAGTAGTAGTAGCAGTAGTAGTAGTAGTGATAGTAGTAGTAGTAGTAGTAGTAGTAGTAGTAGTAGTAGTCGTAGTAGTAGTAGTAGTAGTAGTACCAGTAGTAGTAGTAGTAGTAGTAGTAGTAGTAGTAGTAGAGGTAGTCGTAATAGTCGTTGTAGTAGTAGTATTAGTAGAAGTAGTAGTAGTTGTAGTAGTAGTAGGTGCCGTAGTTGTAGTAGTGATAGCAGTAGTAATACGGGTGAGAGTAGTAGTAGTAGTAGTAGTAGTAGTAGTAGTAGTAGTAGCTGTAGTAGTAGTAGTAGCTGTAGTAGTAGTAGTAGCAGTTGAAATAGAAGTAGTAGTAGTAGTAGTAGTAGTAGTAGTAGTAGTAGTAGTAGTAGTAGATGTCTTAGTAGTAGAAGTAGTAGACGTGCGAGTGAGAGTAGTAGTAGTAGTCGTAGTAGTAGTAGTAGTAGTAGTAGTCGTAGTAGTAGTAGTAGCCGTAGTAGTAGTAGAAGTAGTAGTAGTAGTGGTGGTGGAAGTAGTAGTATTTGCAGAATCAGTAGCAGCAGCAGTAGTAGTTGTAGCACTGCAGGAGTAGTAGTCGTAATAGTTGTAATAGTAGTAGTAGTAGTAGTAGTAGTAGTAGTAGTAGTGGTAGTAGGTTTCGTAGTAGTAGTAGTAGTCGTCGTCGTAGTAGTAGTAGTAGTAGTAGTAGTAGTAGTAGTAGTAGTAGCAGTAGTAGTAGTAGTACGAGTGAGAGTAGTGGTAGTAGTAGTAGTAGTAGTTGTTGTTGTTGTTGTAGGAGCAGTAGTAGTAGTAGTAATAGTAATAGTAGTAGTTGGAGGGTTAGTAGCAGCACCAGTAGTAGTTGTAGCACAACGGTCGTAGGAGTAGTGGTAGTAGTAGCAATAGTAGTAGCAGTACGAGTAGTAGTAGTTGTTGTAGTGGTAGCAGTAACTTGAAAAGTAGTAATGACCGTTCTAGTTTGAGAGCAGTGCTAGTCGTATTACTAGTAATGTAGTTGCCGTTGTTGTATGAGTCGTCGCAGTAGTCGTAGCAGCAGAAGCAGTAGTAGCGGTAGGAGTAGGAGTCGTAGAAGTAGTAGTGATTATAGTAGTAGTAGTAGTAGCAGTAGTAGTAGTAGTAGTAGTAGTCGTAGTAGTAGTAGTTGTAGTAGTAGTAGTAGTATGTGTTGCCGTCGTAGAGGTCGTAGTAGGAGTGGTAGTCGTAGTTGTAGTCTTAGCAGTCTTTGTCATATTGGTAGTGATACCCGTACTCGTAGTAGTAGTCGTAGCATCAGCAGCAGTAGCAGTAGTTGTAGTAGGTGCAGTAGTAGGTGCAGTAGTAGTAGCAGTAGTAGTAGTAGTAGTAGTAGTAGTAGTAGTAGTAGGAGTCGTAGTAGTAGTAGTAGTAGTAGTAGCAGCAGCAGCAGCGGCAGCAGCAGCTCTGGGGTATTGTGTGAACAATGGGCTATATCCGGGGAAGTGTAGTTCTAAACGTCACCTTCGGTCGGGTTCTCTTGTGCCGTTTGGAGCAGCGCTTATGTCCGCGACGTTTACCATCTCGTTTGTCATGGGCTCGTTCGGGCTCCATACGGAACCCTTTTGTGTTCTCGGTGATTCTGGGCATGTCCAGAGGGATTCTGAAGAATGTGGGAGAATGTCTTCATCCTTCTCTCGTTTCTTCTGTTCAGGGTTCATCAGGGATTCTGGAGAAAGCCTTGGGGAGTCTCGTGACCCCGCAGAATCTCTTACGATTCCCCAGTGTTCCACGAGGAGCCCATGCTGCGACCCAGTGGGCTCCCCACCCCACCGCGACGCGACGCGACGCGTCCCGTCACATCGTGGGGAGGGGGCGGTTTCTCATGATGTTGGATTCGCTAGGGCCCTTGAGGATTTCTCTGGGTTCCTCTATACTTGTCATGGTACCCGAGGATGGCCCACGAAGTCCTCAGG